CTGTCTTTTGTATGAATGTTCAGCACAGGAGAAAGCCATATGCCCCTGGCACTGGTTCCTATGCATTCTTTACAATTCGTAGCGAGGAGATTAAGAAAAAAACCAAACCCTTACATTTACATGTCTTTCATTTATTTAGCAGTTAGCACTTTCTAAAATAGCTCTTTTTTTTTTTTTTTTTTTTTTTTTTTTTTTAAAAAAAACAGCGAAAGGAGATTTAGGTCTTTTAAAGCAATCTGACTACCACTACTCATTTTCTTTATCAGGAATATTACTGCACACCCTTAATAGGGAACCTTGTTTTGCTACTCCCCGTCTGTTCAAAACAGACCTTAGCCCATTAGAAGGTCCTCCCTTGTGTGGGAAGACCACAGCTGTTACTGTAAATCTCATCCAGTAACTGTATCACCCCCATTTTGTGGCTCTGAAGGATGAAATTGAGAAATGGAATACTGTGCAGTCATCCTTTACATCTCCAATTTTAGGCCTTTGCACATAATTTTCATGCTTTTATTCCAAATCAAACAACATTAGTGAGCAACACCACCCTGCGCTAAAGGTCTAGCCTCAAAGGCAGCATCTAACGATCTTTGTTTTTGGAGGATTTAGGATTTGGAGGGAAGTTGGGGGTTTGTTGATGGTGGATTTTTTTAATTTTATTTTTTTTTATGCCCTCTTTTCCCTCCCCATACCCCCAGATCTTTCTGAATCCTCAGAATTTGTCAGAAGCAGAAGTCCAGATGGTAGTGAGGTGCCTAAGATGGAGGACGCTCTGTTGTGCCTCCACAGAGGAAGCGAGACCTCAGCACAGTTAACAAACACAACTTTAAAAAGGTTTCTGTTTCTTTAAATCCTTCTGAATAAAGTGGATCTAACTTCTTATGAAGGATATTGGGGGCTTTAATCAGAAATAAGAAGTGGTTTAAATCATTAGCACAACAAAGCAAACTATAAGCTTGAAGATAAAAGTCTCAGGGGAAAGAGTCCTCTGAAAATAAATGGGACTTGATAGATTTCCATATCATTTATAACTTCCCTTAATTACACTTGGAAGACTTGCCAGTAAAACTGGAAAATTGGCAGCCTATATCCATTATAGTAATTTTGCCGACCATGGCAAGCAGCTGGCTTTACTGGATTTTATTTCCCATCACTCACAATTAATCATCAGCTGGAGATGTCTGAAACTCCTCAAAACGTAGCAATACTGTGTGACATTCAGGCCTCCTTAAAATGCTAAAATCTGCTGAGTAAATGGGCCGAGTTCCCCTTCCAGCGAACTCATTTTGGTGCGAGGCAGGCTGCCGGTTAATGAGTGCCACTTCGATAATCGGATGCGAATGTGAACCCTGACCTCACGTCAAAGGAGAGGACGCAGCAAGCTGGATAAAAGATAGGGGATTCAGAGCTGCAAACTTTACACCAATTAGACAGAGAGCGGGGAAATACATCAGTGCCGATTGGGTTTATCAGAAAGACTTGTGGGGCTTGTGACCATTTTGTAAGCCTAACATTGAAGACGTCCTGTCACAATCGTTAAGTCTTTTATCAGATGATGCACAAAAGTCCGAGGAAAGTCTACCATATTCACAAAGATCCCGTGGTAGCAATGCCCTCGGGTGTGCACCGTCTTTTTGTGTTTCCGAGTTTTAAGGAGACCTATCTGTAAGTGCAATTAGTCTTTATGGTCCTCCTGTAGGTGCGACGAAAATGGCTCGGGGTTGCTGCTTCTCAGATTCAGCTTCCACCCCGTGTCGTGAGTCGCTTGCTCGGGAAATGAGTGGAGACAGTTCCCTGTCCTGTGTGTAACCTTTCGGCCACAGGAGATAACAACCGTCGTGCAGTCCCCGAGTTACTCAACCAGTGCTGTTGACTGTTCCCAAATTCACATCAGAATTGTTGGCAATGTCGAGATGTTAAGTACCCTACTCTTCAGTGATTTTTTTTCTTCTTTTTTTTTTCTTCTTTCTTCTTTTTCATTTTCACTCTGTGGCGAACAAAACTGAACAGCTACTTTGAACTCTGCGCCGTGCAGAAATAAACTACTAAAATACAGACTGTGGGTCTAACAGTCAATCACTCATTTATTTTGATATTCCAAGCAGTGTAAAGGTAGATTTGTCTGTAGTGTAACTCTGTGAGAAAGATACCCGAGTTTAATTTCTTTTAAGGAAAGGAGCCCTTTTATTTTACTTGGTTCCAATCAATCAGATTTTTTGTTTGATTTTATTTGCCTGTTTTGACAGATTTGGGTCATCGCTGAGGCCTCTCTAAATCAAAATGTAAAGATGGTGGTTTACATTGGTTTACCATCCACTGAAAGAAATAAATTATACGATGAAAATGCAACATTAAAAATAGTCCCAATAAATCCTTAAATAAGTTAGAAAGCAAGAACTTGTACACATCGCTGCGGTTTTCATTTGCGGGCTAAATAACAGGCAAAAGGATATGTGCAATTATGGAATGAAAGAAATTGGACAATGCCCAAAAGACTGAAAAAGAGAAAAGAGAGATACAAGTGCCTAATTTTAGGATTTGTCACTTTGCAACACAATGAGTGGAGCTGTAAAGGTTTAACATAAGAGCAGTAATTAAACTTCTGTGCTTAAGTGACACTTTCACCAAGGTAATTTTCAACAAATTGCACATCATCACAAGTACTGACACAGCATTTTCACAGGTGGTACCTGCTGCAAGTGCCTCCTTCCTTCCCAGCTAGTAAGACTAGACGTTAACTGGGTAATTTGTCTATATATTTTCTGGGTTGGGGGGGTTATTTCCTTCCCAGACACCGCTTCTGTACTTTTCCAGTAGATGTATTTCCAGAACTCCGTTTAGATAATTGCTAACAGGTTCATTTGCACGCCATCCACCTGATGAAGCCATGTTAGAGCTGAATTGCACTGGGGCTCAAGAGAAGAGTTTCTTGTGCCCTTGAAATTAGGCCGCTCAATTCAGACCTGCGCTCCTTAGCATCTCAGTCTTCAGCAACCTTTAGAGGCCTTGGCGCGCCGAGAGCTGAGTTTAACCAGAGGGTGGGCAAATTTGTTTCTGAAATATGCTATTAAAACCCCCCTCCAACAAACATTCTTGCCTTTTTTTTTTTTTTCTTCCCTCCCTTCCAACCAGAAGTAGATATTTATAGCTTCCTCTTAACCTCAGCAATGTCTGGAAAGTTCAGAGCAGATGGAAGAAAAGCTGAGCAGTGAGATAGGGAGAAGAAGAGGAAAAGAAAAAGGAAGGAAAGAGCGAGCTGCTGGGGCAAGGCTACAGGCAGAGTAGCAGGTGTGGAAGGACGGAGACAAAAGAGGGGGAAAGGGAGTAGAGGGGAAGTAACTGGGGACAAAGAACAAGTCTTTGATACTATTCACCGAATTTGACACTGCTAATGACTTAAATGCTTGCCTGAAGCTCAGGATGGAATTTCTGCAGGTGAAGTGTTGGCTGGTGGTTATTCTCTGTATCCGGTTAGTACACCGTGTTCCCATTGCAAACGCCTTCCTTATTTATCCCCAAAAGCCTGTCATGTTGCTGTTGGCAGTCTGTTGGAGAAAGGGTGTGTAAGCACCTTTTAACCTAATGTCTTTTCTTCTGTGTAGCTCCGAATCCATAGGCAGACATCAGTGCTTTTCAGTCATTGCTAGTGCACACTTTAGAAAAAAAGCTTTATTTAAATTTTCAGAATGTATTTCATGCAGTGTGCATTTGATCTCTGACTTCACACCTGTCTGTTAGACAGTATATTCCTCCAAAGTGGGACATGCTTGTCCTTAAATACATATTATTCATTTTACATATATTTAGAGAAATATATCTATGTGTATACATGTATGTGTATAAACAAACACATTTTGACAGCACTGGCACGTGTAACAACGCATAAACCAGATCTCTGCAGGTCTCAAATCACCCTCTTCAATGAAACTTTGACCTCAGAGTGAAAGTATCCCAAATTTGCTGAGATAATGAGTGAATGGCAGACTGCATCTGTAGAAGAGCCTAATCAAAAGACTTGCAGTGGGCACTCGGTGCTAGGCATCCCCGAGGGGTGTTCAGGTCCTAGATACCGGGATGTAGGGTCTAGCTCCCTTCCCTCTCTGGCGTACATCATCTTTGTGGGATGACTGGCTGATCACTGGCTTACACGAGGGATAAATTCTAAATTCCAGGTTTTTCCTTTCATGTATAAGCAGCCCCACTGCCCCACTGTAAAGCCTCGAGCAGTTGTTTCTTCTGCGCAGCGTGGTCCAAGGTGTCGAAGGGAAGATCTGACTGGGAGGGACAGGGAGCCCAGCAGAGCAGCCCAGTGGGTTACTGGTGACCTTGAGCTCGCGCATGCCTGTTAGCAGAACAGGCTGAAAGCAGAACAAGCAGAAAGAGGGAACTTGAATGTTTCCTTTGAAGAGCCATCAGCTCTGGTGAAAACGATGGTTTTGCCTCCGCGATGCCTCCGCTGTGGATGAGAGGTGGTGGTTCCTCACAGGCGTGCTCGCTCCCCTCAGTCCGAAGTCACGAGCCGCCATCCAGATGCTGCCACGTGCGGAGGTGTGACTTTCTGCTCAGCATTAGCCCGTGGGGTATTGCCGGAGCTTCCAGCCCAGGCTCCTCCGGACACGTGCCAAGAAACTTCTGGCTTCTGAATCAGGCTTAGGCTCCCTGGCCAAAACCGCACAAATTATATTTTGCTCTGGATTTAATTGATGTTGAACTGTGGTGGGTGTGAATGTGAACTGTAGAAGTTGGACCCAAATGGATGGGATGGGAGAGGAGCCTTTCAGGTTTGTCTGGGGTGCTATTTTAAGTAGGTGATTCCTTTTTCCCTGTTTTGCTTCCAGTTTTGTCAAAAGCAACTGCAATTTGTGACTGTGGTTTGTGTCGTGACTGTGTAGCTGGCTGACTTGACTTGTGCCATGAAAGTCTTTACAGCAGAAAAATCATACGCACTTAGAGCGTTTAAAATCCTCTATCCTCATTTTGTACTGCTTTAATTTTACCAGGTTTCGGAAGGTCAAGAGATTTGTGTAATTGAAGCAATGAAAATGCAGAACAGTATGATTGCTGCTAAAACAGGCAAGGTAAGCTACCTTGGGTCACTTAAAACCATATGCAACTTGTCAAATAGGATAGAATTTAAGAAGGAAAAAAGGAGGATTCTGGTTGTTAAGGAATTAAGTCTGATTGTTGTAAGTCTTTGGAAGTGAGGTGTCTTTAATTTTTAACATTTGCATCTGCTGTGAATGCTGTTAAGTAGTTCCAAGCCTTAGATAGCACAGCAGGAAATAGTTTTACTGGCTTCAGAAATTCATATAACTCTTCTTCTCCTAAATGATTTGTTTTCTATGATGTTACAATGCCAAGTTGAATTGAAAGGTGTTGTAGAGTGTTTCTCCAAATTCCGTCTTTCCAGAGACCAACTGAAGAAGAGAGATCTCTCTGCCAGTTAATTCATTAATGGCAAACAATTTGACATTAAAAAAACCACTCAGAACAAGGCATAGAAAGTGCTTTTGCAGGAAGATGAGAAAAGCAATTTTTTTATTATTGTGACTGCTAAATACAAAGCCTCGATCTGCAAATGCGTTAAGCTTTGCAAGGCTGTGCATTGTGATATCTTTCTTCTGAGGGATCAGTGTTGCAGCCCCTGAGCTGGGACTCTCCTGCAGCGCGGGATGTACCAAAACCAGCGCTCCGGGCAGGGAACTGGTTAAGCTTATGTGACAAGGACATGCCTTAAACCCCATCTGGTTTGGGGACTGTCAGCCCCCAAGGCAGGGCCTCAGAGCATCCCTGTGCCAGATTATAATTCACAGCCTGAAACCATCACCTAGGCGTGGGCCCCTGATCCATCCTTTCCGAAGGGAGAGCAGAGTCTGGATGTGGATTGTGTATTCTCTTCTGTCTCGTGTTTCCCAGCCCGTCCTAGCCCTTCTCTGCCTGGGGACAAGCCCCTCCGCAATCCCTGAAGCGCTGCCATTTTGCTCTTAAAAATAACAAAACAAACCCCACTGCAAGATCCCTTAGCCCAGAGGGAGGCAGCAAGGAGCCTGACTCTCCAGGGCAGGGACGAGGTTAGCCACTGGCAAGATTTGCTGAGATCTCAAGATGGGTCTCCGTGCCAAGGACTGTTTGTGTGTTTACAAGAAAGGCTTAGTTGGCACAGCACTAAAATCGCCCCTGAGGCTGGGACCCAGGGCTTGCCTCTTCCAGTGTGGCTAGTGCAAAACTGGGTCTCGAGGAAAAAAATTGCAGAGAGAGGGAGAACATACCTGCTCCTGTTGCTCTAACGTTGCCACTTTATTATTTTATTTCATGCATTAATTCCTCTATAATTTCTCACTTGATTAATATTTCCCAGTTTTTCATCTTATTGCTGCTCTTTGCATCCTCTTTTTAACTAGTGAGTATTTGTAATTAAAATGCTATTCCCTCTGCCACCCGCCCCCTTTTATTTTTTACTTTAACCTTCCCTTTCCCACCAAGGTGAGCTGTAACCCATGGGCCTGTTCCTTAGAATCCTGCTTGTACTTCTCCCAGTACTAAGTAGCTCCCACTCACTCTCTACAGATGCCACATAAACCCCACGTTTGGCTTATTAATCCTTCAAAGTGGGATTTGAATGGTGCACAGGCCATTCAGTGGGCCCGATGTGCATCTTGTAATGTCCCCTTGTTGTCTCCATTTTAATAATAAGCGAATTATTTGATTCTTTAGAATGTTAAGAATTTGAGAAAGCAAAAAAGTTTTGGGCTGTGTAGAAATGAAGCTGCTAAACAGAATTCATCCCGTTCTGCAGTGCGAAGTCATGGCTCTGAGTGCTTAAACAGCTTGGCCCCCCCCCCAGGAATGGGATGTTTGGCACTGGCTGTTAGTCCACGTTTCGATGCTTTGAAGCTGTGTTTTGAAACTCAGTTCGTTTGCCTTCAGCCGGAAGACGTTCCCATTTTCATTCCCGGCTGAATTCCTTTTCTGCATCAAACCCCATCTTCCTGTTTGCAATTGTGAGAAAAGTGGCTTGTTGTCTACTTTGAGTTTACTCCAGCTGCAGGTGGTTTAAAAATGAGGGAAAGATGGAGAGGAACTGGTGTGTGCCTCCTGTCTCCTACGGGACAGCTGCGCGTGGGTCAGAAGGGGGAGCTGGCCCCACTGCCTGTTAAAAATCACTGGGGAGTTTTGAAACACTACTCAGTTACAATGTTTGCTGAACCTTGGCTTTGTAGAAAAAGAAAAGAAAGGAGGAGAATATTTTTCACATTGCTTTCATCTCTGAAAAGATTGAGACTCGAGAATCGGGTAGGCTGCCTAGCTATTGATTTAGAAATAAAGCCCTTTTTTTGTACATCTCACGGTGTCTTTGCCCGTCTACAGTGTTCAGCTTCATTTCTTGAGCAGTGCTGTGAATGTGCCTGTGCTACAGAGCCAGAGATGCGCTTACAGCACATGTGGCCTTAGGCTAGATTGTAGCCTGGTATTTTGGGTGTGCTGCAGGTTTCCTTTAGGAGCCCAAGGTAACATTTGGATGACTAAACTGAGCCAAGTGCTGAACAAGGTTTTGATCAAGGATTGGGGCATGTCAGTGTGAGCTCTGAGTTAATAGTGAAATCAAACTCTATTTTCCGGAGCTCCATGTGCCGAAAGGGAATTCAGACACGTTACAGCCTTTTATAGAGGAAATAAGGGACTAGTATACGATGTTTGTGTTTCAAAATTCAGGAATCTGCACGTGAGTATGTAACTCATCTACAGATGTAGTTGCATTTATTTGACAGTGGTAGCCCTTTGCCAAGTTCAGTTATGTTAAAGGATCCAAATTTAGATTTGAATCAATCTATCTCAGCTGCCTGGGGACTGAGGGAAACCCACTTCATGGCTGCAGTCCCAAAATTCAGTTAAAATCCGTAATGCAAGAGATACTGGAATATTTCATTGAAATGTCCAAGCCTGAGTGTTGAAGAGTCAGCCTGTCATCTAAAAGATTTAAAATGTTAGTAGTAAATGAATAGCAGTCCACTGTTTAGGTGGAAGAAACGTGCTTTTTAATTTTTAGAAGTGCCACCTCGATCTGACATTCAGATCTTCAAGCACCTAGGTAATAAGAAAACCAGCAAGTGGCAGGTGCCTGAATACCCTGGTGGAATTGGGACACGATTTGGTCAAGGACTGGAACAGGCTGCCCAGAGGTGGTGGTGTCTCCGTCCTCAGCGATACCCAGAACTCAGCTGGACTCTGAGCGTTGGAGGTCAGGCTGGCGACCGCTCAGGGCCCCTCCAACATACAGGAGCCTGTGATCCCCGTGGCCGTCACGATGTTGTATAGTGGGCATTTACCCTGTGCACGCAGATGTGATGCTCCATGTAAGCAACGCCAAGCAAACCATTTATTTAACCATGCTATTGAGGAAGATTGGAAATTATTTCTGTTTCTGTACTGTAGGTGAAAGCTGTGCACTGCAAAGCTGGTGATACTGTTGGAGAAGGAGATCTGCTGGTGGAACTGGAATGAAAGGTTGCCTCCACACTGTTGAGTTAGCTAAGCCTTTATTATTTTCATCCGTAAATTAAGATTAAGGCAATTCAACACAGAAGATGGACAGTCCTATGCACGAGATTTTATACAGTCATATTTATTGTATCAGTGGTTAAGACAGCAAACACAGATGTTAAAACTTGGCAACAGAGCCCAGATTTTTACTTCCAGAAATACTTGTACATAATCTTTGTAATTCTTTGATTTTTTAGGATCAAGTAAAATCAATAAAATACCATTTCTGCTTTAAAACAGGAAAAGCCTCTTTTTTAAAAAAGAAAACACAACAAAAGCCTGAATCTGATTCATCTTCTCCATGGCAATATCACTGGTTTGAGGGCCCAGCCAAATTGTACAGAATGGTTGGTAAGAGTGAGAAATGAACCACTCGGTGGCTAACTGAGCAGTTTTGCTACACTCTATGTAAGTGCTGAACAAGTACTGCTGACGGCTTAAATTCTGATCAGATTTACTGTAATATTTTGAAGTCTTTGTATAGCCTAGATTTAAACTACAGGTTAGATGTTTTATTTTGCTAGTGCAGCCTTTCCCCATGCATTTTCATTTACAGTTGTAAGGAACTTTTCTTCTTTTTATTCAGACTCCATACCCAAATTTCCCCCCCTTTATCTTCTGTTGATTACTGGATGCAAGTCTTGACAGAAGGAGCTGGCACTGTCCTCGAATCCCTTAGCCACCCCAAGGTACTGCTGGAGGCACTTGCTGTCTGTCAGGCCAAGCCTCCTCCTGAACTCTTAGAGGAAGGGAGACCAAGCGACTGAGCTTTTGTTGTGCAAAGGCTCTTGCTAAAGACTGGGGGAAGAACTAGGACTGTTCACAGTACAAGGCTAGATCCTGCTGGAAGAGCTGTGTATCCAGTGTGGGAAACCAGAGAGGCCCTGCAGAGGGGGAAGATTTAAGACTTTGAACAGAAGTGAGAAGGCTGGTGACTTGGTCAGAACAGGTAAGATGTATTTTTTCTTCCTACTCACTCAGGCACTCTGTGCCCCAGGATGGTGTAGATACCAGAAGTTTACTGGGTTCAAAATGTTAGTGTGTGGTTAACAGAGGCTCTTCCTTCCTTTAATTAATCTTGCTAAGTCAGCAGCTGCAGCTCACTGGACACAGTGATACCTCCCCAGTCCCTGCACGCTGTAAGCATCATCTCTGTCCCTGTGCTCTTGCCTAGGCCTCTGCTGCTGCCCACTGCTGGGCCAGGACACTGGGCTACTCCTGCCTTTGATCTCACCTCCTACAGCTGGTTTTTTTTTTTTACATACCTCTAAGTCACCCTTCCTGCTGTGCCTTGACCACTGCCCCAGAGAAGAGGGGGCCTGCTCTCATTTTCTTGCCTAGGATGTGCAGAGTCATGCTATTTCCCAGAAAAACCCCTCTGGCCAGAGGCTCCTGGGCCCTTTCCCAGAAGGCGAAGGACAAAATCAGGCTGTGACAGGGCTGGTGACTCATGTTCAACCAGAATGGTTCAGGATTCTGCTTGAAACTTCTGACTGAAGAGGCATTTGTCATGTTACTGAGAAGCTGCCAACTAAATCACATAGCCAGGACAGAATAATGTAGTACCAGGATCTGCGTTGTTAATTAGTTTACAAAACCCATCAAGATGAGTAAGGAGAGTGTTTGGGTAGTACCTGCCCTCCAGGAAAGTTAATGCTTTTGCAGTTGGAGAAACTGAGGCAGACACCCTGCGGATCTTCCTACAGCTCTCCTTAATGCCATCTTGCCCCTTCCAAAAGGAGCACAGTTCAGCTTCTGCAGGTTGCCCTAAACAAAAAACAAGTATTGTAAAGAGACACAAGTATTCTACTTTAAAATTACTTAATTTGCTTACTGCAGCAACACAAGCTTTCTGTCTGTTCTAAACGAGATGCAGCAGTGCCTACCACTGATAAAGTTTAGGCCGATTCCTTACCCTGGATCCCTGGGCTGATTCCCTACCCCAGATCTCCTCCGGCCCTCACAGGGCTACTGGCAGTGAAGCAAAAGTACAATATTGTTCTTAATGGTATCCTTAGTACATTTAATCGTACTTTGGTTCACTGCATGGCATACACTCCCTGCTCACATCCCTTTGGCAGCTTTGTATACTGTACAATCTATATCTACCAAACGCTGCTGTTGAAGGAAAGTAGAAGGCACAGGAGCATAACAACAGAAAGCCACGATTTTCCCAGATTGTACAAAAACCGGCACAGTTGGTTGGGTCAGGGGGACAATAGTCTTCTTTCCATCTTTCTTTTTTTCTCCAGTTTAAATGTTGCAATAATCAAAACACAGGTCCTTTGGATATTTTTTATAAAGTATATAAAATGTTTCCCCTGATTGATAGGAAATTCACTTTGCATATGGTTGCAAGTTCTGCATTAAAGTGCTTGGCAAAAAGTCACCTTGATAGTAAGTGCTCACAACAGCTGCATCCGCTGTAGTGTGGTGGGCAGCTGAAATCAGGTTTGCTTTTCCTGGTCCCCAACACGCACCCCTCCCCCCCAAATCCTACAGTCACTCAGTGAACTGAAGTGATACCTGAAGTGCTTAGAATGCTAAATTAAAAATATGATTTTAAATGTAATTCTCTTCTTTCTTCACAGTACCTTATAAAACTAAACATGTTTTAAAAATACTCCTTTCCAGTTCAGAAGAACATTGCAATACAGAGTAAGAATAGTCTTTAAAATTTCTCTCTTTCTCCAGCCATTTCATATTTGTCTTAAACACATAGTATCTATATGGTCACTTCTCCCTGTTTACATTCAGTAACCTACTGAACACGATTACAAGTCAATATTAAATGCGAGTTGTGCTTTACTTTTTGTTGCAGACATGAGTTTTTTTTAAATCAGTTTCAGCTATTAGTGCAATAGTATCATCATTATTCCACCCACCCTGGAGCACTACACAAGAAAACTTGAAAATTAAGGAAAAAAAAAAAAAAAAAAAAAAAAAGAAAAAATTAGTCTGTTTCTCTGCCTTTCATTGACCTCAGTCATGCAGTGAGGCAAAGCGAGGGGGGGGAATTGAGAAAATAATTAGACCCCCAAACCAATGTGCACAGATAAGAGTTCTTTTACACCTCATGCAAACCCAGTTACTGTCAGCAAGTTAGCGGGGGCGAGGAGGACACGGACTAGCCAGGGACAAGTCCCCATCTCTGGGCCTACAAGACTTCAACACTAGCGCCAAGGCTCCTGGGTTGGGAGGGTTACCTGTTTCTTAATTAAAAGGTATTACAGCTTTCCTGGAAGGGTTACCAATCGACACGTGCTTAGTACTACGTCTTCGGCCAGGCTGCGTCGTCTCCCGTTTCTAATCCCGGCTTTCGCGTAGGACGTAGGAGAGGCCGTGTTTCCCCGAGGAGTCGTAACTGTCATGGTAGGGGAGGCCAACCCACTCGGGCGGGTACGTCGTCGTGCTGTACACGAAGCACTCCACGATGCCCTCGGCAGCTGCCCGCGCCTCGCCCGCGCCGCCCTTCCCTTCCCACTCCACCACCTCGATTCTCATCAGGGTACGCTGGTACATGTCTGGGCAGCCTTCAAACTCATCCAGGAACTGCAGCATCTGGTCATCAACCGAGTAAATCTCTCCAGCAACGTGGTGTCCTGTCCCCGGGATGTTCAGCATGTAAGGGACGTTGTATTTTCCTGCAATCACTAGCGGGTACTTCTCCACCGTGCGGCCCCTTCCCTGGAATTTCGCTAGCCCCTTGGCTGTATTGATCATGTGCTTGTAGTTGGGCTGGCCCTTCTTCAGCGTGCCGTAGACGAAGACACGAGCCATCGTACCTGCAAAAACAGCTGAAAGACAAAGGTGTACGTTACCCACGTGGCTGCTTTGGCCAACACTCTGGAGAACCACAGCAACGCCAAGACGTGTTGTACATGCAAGACTGTTCGGGCGTGTGCAAAAGTGGTCTCATAGTCCTACACCTCATTTAAATATCATACTAAATTCAAGTATCTCTAAACTTTTCAGTCAAAAACTGTAACAGTGAATAACAGACACCAGGAGAAAGTCACCCTTGCAGTTCTTGCTGTAATGGAATTACAGCCCATGGTTTCTCTAAGGAATCCCCAACATCAGCCAATGCATCCCTGAGCCTTGGGAAAAGCTCCAAACATCAATTTTTTTTCCTTCTCGCCGTTATGGGAGCCATGCTGCAGTAAGTAATGTGATGTCATGCTCAGTAACAACCCAAGAGCAACCCAGAGAGCCATCCCTGTGATGGAAACACACTACACTTAGTGCATCCTTTGGGGGGGGAGAATAATTGAAAAAATCATGGTTCAGCTCAGCTACGCAGACACCTTCCTATGCTGCTCCACTGCATTTATAGTTTAAATAGTCCAGGTCAAGCCCAGTTACTAAAACTTGCAGGAGTGAAGCCACAGTTAGTTTGTTTTCCCTTGTTGGAGCAGGGTGGTGGGTTTTTTTGTTTAAGGCCTGAGGTGATGGACTTGGTCACACACTACCTGGGACACCCAGCACTGCATGCCCAGGGGAAGCTCCTCCTTCCCTCCCTCTGCTTTCAGGCTCTCCTTTCACTGTGGCTACACTCACAATTTGAGAAACAACATTTTATTTGGTGGTAGAAGAGCCTGGTGGCAGTTTGGAAGTTTGAGTGTCTTCTTGTTTCAAGGTAAAATAAAGCACAGTGGCATTAAATATACAAAAGCAAATTATCGCATTCAAACTTCTAGTCCTGTTGTGCTGCAGCTGCGTGCATTTGATAGTATTTTTTTCAAAAAAACAGTCTTAAAAAAAAAAAAGGGAAAAGAAAAGCAAGCAGCACAATGCTCATGACTGCAGCAAGCTAACTATGTACAAACTGGGACATCACCGAGCTGAACAGAGGACCTGTCTGTCACGAAGAGGGAAGAAAAGGCTTTAACGTCAGACCTTACAAGGACAATGAGGCACGCCGGCGCGGCAGCAGGGCAAGTTTAACCTGGCGTTGAGTCATTTCACGGACAAGCTGAAGGATTTTCAGTAACCCCAGTGCTGAGGTCCCGCTGGCTGACTGACTGATGCTGAAAAGCAAACTGGGGTAACACCGTGCTCCTCCCCTCTTCCCCAAATACCCCAAAGAGCTAAGCAACCTGAAGTAGCCAATCTGCACATGGGCTAGCCCTCTCCTGAATACAGACCCTGACTGATGTTGTTCAACATTTGTTTTATATGTGAGCATAAAACACTCAAAATTGGTTTAAATGGGATAAAAGGCTGGCTTTACTGAAAGGTAGGGGGAAAAAAGGTACCTTTGTAGTTCCCAAGTTATTTTTCACGCTGTGTCCCATTTATCCCCCATTGTTTCTGTAGGGCAGAAGCAGTTCTTGCGCCGTCTGATGGTTTCCCACGTTTTGCCCTCCGTCACCGACTGGGCAGAGCCTGCCTCCCCCACAGTCCTCTGGCTGGGCCAGGCACCCAGCATCAGAGGAGCACATGCAGCTCCTTTTGGAAAGAGGGTCATTAAACAATGCATTTCAAATTTGAAAAAAAATCTTTAAAAACAGACAGGAAGTAGAAGCTTAATCTATTTTCTGCTATTTACTCTTATTTTAGTAAACTTAGATCAGACGGGTTATCCAAAAGGGTATGTTGCTGGCCAGGAGCAGTGTCATTTAAAATACTCAGTAGCAAAGCAATTTTCCCCTTGGTGAAGTAAACAGTTTTTCTCTGTAACAGAATACAGTTTTCCAAGCAAAAACAGTATGTGCCCTTATTTACTGGCAAACCGCTTTCCCTAAAGAAAAAAAACCCGGGCGGTTTCCCCCCCCCCCCCCCTTATTTTATCAGATATATTTCAGCTTAATTTATCCTTCATGACATAAACGACTTTTTTTTTTTTTTTTGGACGCAGCTCATTCCCTCACAATAAAAAGAGCATTAATATTCAGTCGGTCTGACTCCCTTTTATAAGAAAAATCATTACCTTTCAGATTGTGTTTTGAATAACAAACACAGATCCTTCAGGAAGAAACTTGTCCCAGTGGGGATTGAGAAAGGATCAGAGTTAAGCACTGAAACATGCAATTAATTCCCATTAGGGGATTAGGGCACTCGTGTTCACTTTGAATCAGAAAAATGAATTGTGAATTAAATTGTTCACAACCAAGAGGTTACTTGTCAGAGTTAATAAGTTAAAAAATAAAAAGGGAACCTAAAACACACATAAAAAGCTCAATAGTGAGTGGTGCATCTGTAGGAAAAAGATACGCTTCATTTCCATTAAACAAAAGCTCTATCCCTACTGTACAGCTGGAGATAAGCTTCCAAAAAGTTTGCAGGGAAGAGTGTTACCACTGCTGAAATTGGTGAAAACGAAGCACACATTTCTGATGGCGCAGCAGCCAGCTGTTCAAAAATGTTACTGATTTAGAGAAAGGCACCCGTCATCCTAGTGCAGGACCCACAAAATTCAGCAACAACAAAAGAACTTGCTCACCCAGGTTCGGCTAACTGCATCACACTATTTAGCATTTGAGTTGATGGATTCAGCAGGCAGTATAAGTGGAGATAGAGTGGGAATCTGACCTTTCAGCCACAGTTTGTGTAAAGCCATGAAGCTGATGTACTGATACAGCTGTGGCTTTGCGAGCAGGTGGCCGTCGAGTTCCCCATCACACCGCTGCAGTCCACAGCGGCTCTGTCCCTCACACGGGGTGGGATGGGCGCAATGACTTCTCCTTCTATTAAAAAAAAAAACCCCAACAAACCAAAGCCAAGCCCAGACAACCCCAGGTGAGTCGTGATTGAAATGAACTTGGTAAAAACATTTTCTGAACTTTGCTCCATATAAATAAGACATACACAATTTTCTGTGCAATAAATCTGGTCTCTTGCGCGCTGTGTGTTGCGTTGCAGAAAGGCTGTTAGACGTACTGGCATTAATTTCTAGCACTCGCCTATTGTGGGCTTGCAAAACGTTTTTAGCCACCTTGTGGCAGGAGAGTAAAGAGCAGAATTTTATTTGAGGGTCATTTCACAGACTTCCACTCAGCAGCTGAAAAGACTTATAGACAGCATCCCTTCACTGAATCACCAACAAGAAGTTGCCTTTTCTCACTTAATCCAGTTTGACACTTCTTACCTACACTAAACCACCTAAGAGGAAAAGAAAACCCACCAAAAACCAAACAAAAAACCCCCCAGACTCTCTACTGAGTATTAGCTGCCAGGGCAAAACAAACCCATTCAGAAGGTACTTTCATGAAATATTCATGCCAGAATCATTAAAATTTAATGGCATGGGGAAATGTGAGCGAAACATGTATGTCATCTCTTCAAACTATTTCTTTTAGCTACGAAAGATGATCTGCCAAACCGCTCGCACAATCAATTACTGGTTGCTTCATTACATGAGATGCAAAGATCAGAAAATAAAAGTATTTCAGGATCACACAGGTAGAAGATGCTGTTAAGTGAAAAGTGGCTTGTAACTGGCACCATCCAGTAGCCCAGGTTGCCGCTTGGCATTAGCAGTGGTAGTGCTGCATCGCTGTATCCACATCTGCCCTTGCCTATCGACAAGTTTTGGGTCAGGACTTTAGTTTTCCCTCTCAAGGCCCAACAGCTCCAGCATGGCGAGAGGGATGGGTGGCCATGGGGCCAGTTGCTGGCTCAGGCAGCATGCACTCGCAGATGAAGCTGAACTGCTGCGACCAGGCTCTTTGCTCCTAGGTTGTGCCCAAAACAAGACCTCACTTCCCAAGCAGCAGCAGCTTCAACAAAAAACATCCTTTCGCCCCGATTCAGACAATTACAGGATACTACCAGCTTCTTTAGAAAATAAAGTAAGAAATAGCACATGCATTATGCTGGCTCCAGAGCTGTCTGTGACCACGGTAGCTGTGGGTTTGGGTTTTATTTTGTTGAAACTTTTTCTCCCAACTCAGAAAGTATCCATTTCTTTTGCTCCATACAGTAACATTATTTTCCCTTGAGAAAAATTCTCCACGTTGGCTCAGTGACCAGATATAGTTACATGTTAATTCCTCAGAAGTTTCTTAAAACTGTAGGAAACAGGTGAAAAAACAAAATGCCTTGAACTTTAAACTTGAGCCCAGTCTGTTTGAATGAAGTGAGTTTTAAGGTCACTCTTCACTCAATGCTAACTTTCAAGACAGACTAACATGCCAGAGAGGACTCCTGGGACCGCATCCTGTTGGTCTTTTGATGCTTTCATTTTGTTGCTTGCTATTTTCTTTATAGCACAGACAAGGGCTTCCTGCCTGGGCCGACCCCTTTCCAACCTTGCTGAATACCTCGGAAAAAGTTTATGGCAAGACACCTTTCTTACATTAACCACAGAGGCACCAGCAAAACGATGGCTCCTTTGAAATCAAGAGGTTATGGTCTCCTCGCAGCAGTTGTCCGCTCAGAAACTGTGAGGTGCTGGTTTGTGAAAATAAACAAGAGTATTAGAGTAACCAGTGCCACGCTGGACGCTACCAGGCACTACCTGAAACACCACTTAACCTACTTTGCAGATTAATTTTCACTTCACCCTTGGATGGTTTACAGCCCCAAACCAACAAATACGCCTGTGCTTAAGCTGGAGTATCTTGGAGGTATATCGGAGTATCTGCCAGGAGGCAGAGTGAGGATGCCCTCCCTTGGGACAAGCATCAATCACAGCATTGCTCACGTGCCTTGCACCTATTCAGCATCACAGCAAATATTTGCCTGTTGTCTGTTTGAAACTGTTTCAAATCACTTTCAACTCTACTGCACAGAGAAACTTCGTTAGATTAATTTTTACTACTACCAGAAAGAGTTTCATTCCCAAAGTG